CTGGTGGTGATTCAAATCACCTTCTTCCAAGCAACAACCTAGATTTTGTTATAAACAAATGATGGTTTACATATTTAATGAACACATTTGTTTAATTAAAGCATTTTCTCTAATTTCTTAAAAAAATAAAATAATTCTTTGACTATTCATTAGTTCTTACAATTGTCACAAAGTCCCAGCTGAGAGGTGCCCAAGCACTAGCTAAGTAGCGTGACTTTAACAGCCTTTGCAAAACCATTCAATGGGAATGCTAATTATAACACAAAACGGTAAATGGAAAATAGAATAAAGGCAAGACCGCTTATCAAGGCTAGACGGTTGTTTAACATGATATAATCTTGCTGTCTTGATTGCCTCGACAATGAAAATGTGGGGTCTGTTATGGTGCTACACGGGAAATCCTTAAGAAACTAGTGAAGAAAAACAAAACGGGACTGAACAGACCCAGCAGGAGAAGAACAACTGTAAAGCGGGCAAAGACCCCATTCTGGGGGAGATGCTGGTGGCTTGTGCCAAAATGGAAATGCCTGAGCTGAAGGAAGGGTTCTTGAGAGCTGGTCTCAGGATTGGTTTTATTCAATATATTCATTGCAGATACTGGCACAAGACATTAAGGATGGGCTGGAAATAGCTGTTGTTGAAACAAATGGGTAGAATGAAATGTTGTATAGGAGGTATCTGATAACCTTCAAGCCTAGGGTCACAGAAAGCAGATAAAATTAATTGTTCAAAGTGCAAAATGAGAGTAAGAGACCAGTAGCAAAAAGGTCCAATACACTCTGGGACCTCGTTAAGTAAAATTGCAGGAGAGGAGAAAACTGCAGGTGTGTCAATAGATTGCAGATCAATTAGATGCCACTGGTATGATTTGACAGCAGAAGAAAGCAAATAGGATCCTGTGATGTATCAGAAGTGTTTCTTGGAGAGCAGAGACATTAATATCATGGTACAAAGCATCAGTTTGACTTTACTGGAGTAGCAGAGCATCACCCTTGTCCAACAGGGATTTATTCAGCCTTGAACAGGTACTATAACACACAGGAATCAATGGAATGAAAAAACAGCATCCCAGGAAAGGGCAAAGGACGTTTGTTTGGATTCAGGAAAAGGTTGAGAGAGTTGTACAATACAGGGAAGAGGAAAAAGAGCTGTTGAAATGAAAGGGAAATGTTTGTGTAAGTAAACGTGGGCCTAAATGATTTATGGCTATACTGTGGTTTGAAATTAAGGAGCAACATTGCAGGGTGAGCGCCCATAGCAGCTTAAACATGTCTAAACCTGGGCTGTCCCCTGGCTATGTTTCCTCTCCCCCCTTGCTGTAGCCTGTGACATACGAGTGGCACATGCTGTTTAGACCACAGCCAGAACTGCTGCCTGGGAGGCTGAGGCAGCCCTGGGTTAGATTTCAGATACTGTGGTTTCTTGAAATATGACTTCCACATTCTTCAGGAACAGATAGCGAGGACAATAAAGCAAATTTTGAGCTGGAGCCCCCAAAGTGAAGAAAGGTTAAATGAATGCCTGTGGTAGGAAGTCCTTTTTAGACCTGCATTTAGCTGAAGCCAAATCCTTATACCAGGGTTAGCCACAAGGACAAAACCCAGAAAAATCTAACAGGCGGGAACTGATGCATCCATCAGAGGAGATTCCATCTCTCCTTCAGATGTGGCTGCAGTAGCTCCATTTTTAACAAGTTCAGGTCTTACTTGTGTTAGCAGGCAACAGGCAGAAAGCAAAACTGTTGCGCTTCGCTGGCCGTTTGCACTTGGCATACACACGCGCGCACACAGAGTAAATGGTGAGAACACTTCTCCCATACCCTGCTTGGTAGAAAGCCTGCAGTCTAGGAGTGTGCAAGTGCTACTACAGATTTCACATTTAAACAGGTATCTTTCTATATGCATTAAAGGGCTAAAATATTCCTGTCGTTATAATGAGAAAAATCTGGCTTTTGCATTTCTAAATTCACTGAAGTAAGGAAGTAGGAAGGCAAAAAGATGGAGCACAGAATCTGTCGTGAGCAGTGGGGAGCAAGCAGCACTAACCTGTTCCTTTTGCATTAATGCCAGTAAAAATGCCGGTGCACGTCCTCGAGGCAAGCCTCTTTGCAGAGCTCCAGCAAGACTGCACGGTTGTGCTACCCAGGGCAGCGTAGCTTACAAAGGATCCTTTAACTCAGACTGTGAGAGTATCTGGTTAAATGTGCTGCAAAATGAATTCTCTTGGTCACCAAGGCAGAGTGAACCTTGATGCAGTTTTTAATACGGCACTGCTTCTTCCCCTTGTATTTTTATGGCTTAGAGCAAGATGTCCAAATGGCCGAATTGAGTCCATTAGGCAGTTTTATCAGGCCCCTAAGAAGGGTCACTGGTCAGCAGGCTGATCCCGGGCACACTGTTTATTTGTGTGAGTGTTTTTGGGTTGATAATGAGTTGGTGCTGCACTCTCCATGTAGGGAATTAAATAAGTTGTTCTCTCAGACATACAGAATTTGCCATCCTTTCATCACAGCAACTGCACTAGTTTAAAAGTGGTGGGGGAAGATACTGAATGAGTTTTAGCATTTACTAAACAGAGAGATATGTTGAACAGGAACGGCAGAGAGTGTGCTTACCACTCTCCATTGGTTGCTTGTGGCAGTAGGCCTGACTGCTGGGGTGATACAAACTCATGAAATTTTTTTCACTTACCTCTGGGCAGCATTTCTGGGACAAGGAAGCTGTGTAGCAACTATGGGATGTAGTTCATTGCATCTGGAAGTATACAATCAAAATGTTTAGGCTTTGAGTTGGCTGTGGAGCGTCTGACCAGAGTGGATTCTGCCAGGTATTGCCAGGAGCAATTTATGAGTTTTTTACAGCAGCAATGCCTTCTGCCATTGGGATGTCCTCAAAAAAAAAAAGGTGGTGATGGGGGAAGTGACAGTCCATTACCAGGGTATTATCAAGAACCCTTCCTATTTTCCTCTGTGAATGGCAAAAACTTGCTTCTTTTAATTTACTTCACAGCAGGATCCCTCCCTGGGACGTGTGTATGTAACTTGCCCTTGGAAACATTGGGAAAACTGATGTTTTATTTTTGAGATCCTGTTTCTTCAAGGGTGATCATATGCATCAAGTCAGCATATCTAATCCTATAATTTTCCTGTGGTTGCAACAGTGATAACAGTGGATCCATGGCACTCTCTCCATCTTCTTTTATCTGCATTATTATCTTGCCTGGCTCTGTAGTACAGACACTTTGCTGGTAGAGGCATTTGTCTATGTCTCTTGTGAACCATTATCCTACTGTCTTTCCTTTCTCCCCACTGCTCACGATAAGAGTGTCCATTAGGGAAGAAGGAATTACTGCTGCCAAGAAATTGTAGCACCAGAAATGTTAATACAACCTGTACATTTACAACGCTTGTCTGCAGAAATTTGTCCTTGCTCTTGAAAAAGCATCCCCAGAGCTTGCCCTATTCCTCTCCAGTCCCAGCAATAAGGAAGCAAAGCTGCAAGCTCAAGTGTCCAACAGTTGCTTGCCACAGGATCCTTCCCAAGTCCCAAAACTTAAACAGCTACCTTCACATAATGGAAAGCAATAAACTAACACATTTATTAAATGATAATTGCTTTGGGAGAAGTGGATAGATGTATAAACTGTATTTGGTTCATATATAAGCGCTTCTATTGTATATAAACTGCTTGAGGGAAGGAACATACTCATTCTCTTTATGGTTACACAGCCCATGATTTTACCATAATGCTATAACATAAAGCTCAGATAACATTCACCACTATGTTTTCAATAACATTATCACTATGTACTGGTTAACTGATGCTCTCAATGTAAAAACAGCCTGTCCTGTTCCCATTGTGAGTCAGCGGGAGGACCAGGAGCAGAACACAGACATCCTCTCCCAGTGCCACACCCAGAGCACATCGCAACCTTATTCCTTTCCCTTTCTGGGTTCCCAGCATTTCCTCAGCAGCACTGGCTTCATTGTGACTGATTTACCATTGCTGTAGTGCAATCTGGAAGTTGGTAAAAAGAAGTGCAGGACTAATTGTTTTTCTTCTAATTAGTCAGATATATTTGTCTGAGATGCATCAGGGTATGCTCTGATGGATCACGTGGACAGGGATAAGCCTGACGCATGGACTTGCGTGATGGGGAGGGAACTGCAGGCCTAGACCACAGCAGAGGAACATGACCCTGAGCCGCAGAGGGTGCACAGCCCCGGTAGGAGATAAGAGCCTTGGCTTTGGGGCAGCAAACTCCACCCAGCTCCATGACCTCGCCTGTCTAGTGTGGCTGGCTGGAAAGCACAGATTGCCTTGGTTGGCTCCATTTGCCACATGGGGTCATGGAACAGGACAGGCTGCAAAAGTACCCAAAGGCACAAGCGAATCCCATGTATTGCACAGGAGATTGGGTGGTGAATGCAAAAGCAAGGAACACTCATTGGCAAGCATCTCAGAAACACAGACTTGCAGTTTCCTACAGATCCAATGTCCAGATTCCCAAGCTCTTCATATGCTTATGTTCTACTTCTGTTTTGTTTTTTTTTTAAACCCTGTCATGCTGAATTTACACCAGAGACAGACTGACTGAAACAATGAGGAGAGCACACCAGAACCCAACCATTGTGTAATGGCAAACTGCCTCCCTGTGCTATGAATCCTGCCATTAAAACACCTGGGTGGCACAACCACTACCCCGTGAATCAATATTCACACGAGCACAAGATTCCTTTACTTCTCCACTTGCATCTAGACAGCAGGTCACTGATTTACTGAGAGTTCTGTGGCAGTGAGTTGACTCTGACTTTGGAGAAACCTCACCCATACCTGGGCACTAAGCCCAGCTCCAGCTGCCATTGCTCTGGGTAAATCTGTAGGTCCATTTGGATTTTCCAGAAAGTTAATTTGCTCCATATGACTGACAGTGGATTCTGCCAGGTAAACCTGCAAACTATGCGCACAAATCAGCTCAACTGTTTATCTTTCTGTCTTCAGTGCAAGGAGTTCACCTTCCACACTGGTTATGAGGTGCTTGTACAGCGGCTGTTGGATGGGAGGAAAATGTGCAAAGATGTGGAGGATTTGCTCAAGCAGAGGTAAGAAAATCAGAGTGAAAAAAGTGGGAACAGCCTCTATTTTCTCTCCTGTTTGGTATCTGGAAAGGAATAGTAGGCTGTTTCTGAATTTAGTAGTGATACTAGTTTACATAGAACAGCCCAAGTGATTTGAATCCTAGCCTTTTGACATGATTTGTGAAGGTAGATAGCAAATAGAAATTCCAAGGATTTGAGAAGAGAAGGGAGGGGTGAAAGAATCAGAAATCCAGAGCTCCATTAAGACTCGGGTAGTTACTGGTCCAGAATCACACAGTAGCACATACATCCACAACAAGTAGCATTACCAAGTTTCATCTTTCACAGGAAACATTTTTCTTTCTCTTTAAACGTGCTGTTGCCACAGGCATTGTTTCAGTTTCCTGCAACTTCCAAAAATGGGCCATTTTTCAAATACAGACAAAGCTATGTAAGATGCTACCAAAAGCCTTTCCCAGACACCCAAGACAGCCCACATCATTCTCTGACCTTACTAGACTTTGAATAACAAGATTTGTAGATTATGTCCGTCCTTTACATGCTTCTTGGGGGCCCCTCAACAACAGCTATGGACAGCTGATGCTTCTGCAGGTGAGAAAATACATATTACACAGCTGCTCTGACTCCTTTGCCATTCATTTTTGTACTTCTGATAGAAGAAAATATCTAAAATTTGGTTCTGTTTTTAAGTGGCTGGGTTTCAACAGTTCCAGGTTGTGGCAGGCCACATACATGCTCATGCGTGACCTATAGGAAAACACCACACAATATGGATTGTGTATTCAGCAGGTAATCCTATAGCAGTTCGCCTCAGAACTGTCTCCTTGTGAACATTGCTCTGCCTCCCTTAGTTGCAGCCTGCTTTTTCTTCCCATGCTGTCCCCACCTAGTTTTCTGAAGGCTACTTTTCAAGCACTGGGACTTTCAAGGGGATGCGAGGTGTCAAACTGAAAGTTGACTATTTCAGAGAGTGTGAAGAGTCTCCCATCAAAATCTGAAGCTATTTGAATTGCTTTTCTTCACCACCAGTAGAAGCATATTTTACTGCCACATGTCACTCTGTCCTGAAGTCACATCTGTCTGATGGTAGCTTAGCTTTAACTGTTTAAAATAGCTCCTTTGTGACTCATAACTTATAGAGATCAGAATTACATTGCAGGCTTCAGGCAGGCTCTACGCTGCAGTGTGCATCTGATGCTGCATATGCTTGTGTTTCTTTTCAAAACATGTTAGAGACGTTTCTGCAAGTTGGGGATAAGGCTCTTCCTGGTTTGCGGTGGAGGCACAAAGGACTTTCCACAAAGAAGAAAAGATACACATACTGTCATTTTGCAGACCCAAAAGCTACAAGACCAAATGTTTCCATGAACTTTTGCACATTCCAAAACATTCCAGGGAGCGTGTGTACATGTGTGCGTGTGCTTGTGTCTGTACATGCATGTTGGGGGAGGAGGAAAAGGGGAAAAGATAGCGGGCACTGAGTTGCAGAAAGAAGGTATTATTTCCAGTTTATTTCTGGAAAATGTTTGTTTGAGCTTGTCCTCATGTCATTCATGGGAATGATCTAGGAGGACATCAAAGCATGTGATGGATCTGTGTTCCTAGAGGCTGCCCGTATCATGGGCTTCAGGCCAGAATTTCAGCAAGGATTCCTGCAACAGCTGCCCTGAGTCCTGAAACCAACTGCCCTGGCTACACTAACACTTCATCAGTTTTCCACCCAGGTCAATTACTTTTGCTCAAAAATACCCCTGCCTGGTCCAGAGGAGAGCCTAAGAGATGGGGGAGTGAGAAACCAGTTGTATTCCAGAGCAAAGCCCCAGATTTAAAACACAAAATCTGTTCCAGCTCTCAACAGCTGCGGGGAAACCTAGTAGCTGTGTGCAAGAGAAAATGGGAAAGGCAGCACCAAGATGTGAAAAGCAAGGTCTCTGACACAAAAATTATTCTCGTTATTAAAACCAGAAGTTTCTGCAGCATTATGTGTTTCCACAGTATATTTCCACTTTGATGAAATTTCATTCATCTAACATGAAAACGAAGTGGCGGCTTGTCACCATATTTTGCACCCTGTTCTTCTAGGAGGAATCTCAAAGCAGTGACATAGGACCACCCCACTAAAACGCAGCAATTTCTAGTGCAGGATGACAGCAATTAACTAATTGCATATGCAGCGTTTAGACACACGGGAGCCATGAACAGAAGCCAGGAATAGCCTCTGCTCCTGGCTGCGGCAACTGTACGCTGCTGTACAACCAGCACTGCTATTCTACCAGCCTGACCGATCTCCTTGGAGTGGGGGAAAGTCCCCAGGACCAGCCTGTCTCAGGCCACAGAAGATGGTTGCAAACCAGTGAAATTGCAGCAGAGCCACTGGCACAGCTGGCTGAAATACAAGGTGCTCACAGCCATCAGATGCAGAGGAACAGTCGAAGGGTGGTGGGATGTTCTCAGAGACTCACCCCTACAGCTGCTGTGTTGCAAAACTGAAAGACCAGCCCTCAAACCACTGGAACACAGCAAACAGCAACAATAAAGCACAGTGTGGCTGAGTGGGACGATGGATGTAAGAACAAACCAGCAGGGTTGCATGGCCTTGCACCCACATAAAAATTCCTTTTTTGAACAGAGTACATTTCTATAAGGTACCAAGTTTCAGTCTCAAAACTGTTTGAAATGCTGCGAAACCACTTTTGACAGCTGGACTTACCCTAGCCAAACCCCCGCCCCCCCCATTTCCCCCCCATCCTAGCACCAGCCTATCTGTTCATTTTTTATTATTGACCATTCAATAGTTTTTAGTAGCTACTCAAAGACTGAAAACTCAGTTCCACCCCTATCCTGCACCCAGATAAAAGGAAAGAACACATTTAGTACAAACACTTTTTTTTTTTTTTTTTAACAGAGAATAGAAATTTCTTCCAGAGCTGGGGGAGGGAAAACAGCAGAGAAATAATTATTTTTCTTTATTAACCATAGAAAAAGAACTACTTTACCAAGTAACTAGTTACAGTTTCCCATAAGGTGAGATACCCCATCATACTGTCCCCTCCATAAAACTGCCACAGCCTCACCTTCCAAGGCTCCTGCCTCCACTGCAGCTGCTCCAGCAGCCCCTCCTGTTTCTAAAGGCTAGAAATTTTCCTGCTACTCCCAGCTTCCATTTATTGACAACCTCTCTTAAATGGATCCTTTGGAACCTACTCTTCACTCCCCTCCCGGCCTTCATTTTGATGGGTCAAGTCAGCCCTCAGTTTTAGGTTTCTTTTGCAGAAGAGGCTCTCTGTTCTGAGCATCTTCACTCCACTTCTGTACACCTCATCTTCTAATTGAATCCAACTTTTGGGGGACAGAGTTGTATGTAGCAGTCCACAGTAATCAAAGCCATGGAGATAGGCTTCATTTTCCCTCATTTCTTCTAGAAATAGCTCACCCAAACTATTTTAGAGGTAACTAATAGCACTAGGATTGAGGAGAGAGAGAAATGAAATACATTGTATTTCTCATGTTTTGTACCTCGGATGGCATTACAAGATTTGTGTAAATGTGATCCTGGCACCACTAAGAGAAATTGATTAAGTTTTTCTTTTAACAGAGCACAAGCAGAAGAGAGATATGGGAAAGAGCTGATTCAAATCGCCCGAAAGGCAGGAGGACAAACAGAAATCAAGTAAGGAATTATTTTGAGTGCAAGGGAAAGCATTTTGGAAGCCGCATCAGACTCCTGTGTATTGCCTATGAATGGGGTCACAAGCTGCTCACTTCAGTGAGCACTTCACAATGTACAGGAAAAATGGGGAAACCCCATGGTCCTTCAAAGCGGGATTCAAAAAATCTCTATTTGGGAATTGCCAGTAGCTCTTTACTGAGAAATTTTTTAATTTCAGGATTCTTAACAATATTAAACATTTGCTTCCAAAAGCAATCTAAGTGATGGGAAAAAAAGGGAAAGGAAAAGGTGGTGAAATATTTAGTATGGTGGCTTGGCAATTCTGGGAAGCTGGTGGACACTGAGAGACTGTGACAGAACAAACACAAAGTGCAAAGACACCAAAAATTAGCTTCTGCAGTAAGAAAAAGGCTTATCTTAGGAATACTTTAAACCTCTTTGAAGGGACTTAATTTGAAACAAATCCATGGAACTACTGAAATACACTGAAAGGACATATATTTTTCTCTGTCTCCTCTACTACTATCTTAAATCATGTATAAATTGTGTTGGGAAGGGAAGATATATGTTGGCATGGAATTTAAGTTAATAAACACTACTGATAAACTGCTCCTCTTATTGATGGTAGCAGCAATAATGAGACATTTTGTCATTATTGTAACAACTAATAATACAGTAATAAGGTGGCAGAGGATGAAGATTTGGGGTCAGAGAAGACAAGTCTGAAAGAGAAGACCTCAATCTAAACACAAAAGAGCTCTATTGATCCCTGGAGCCTGCTACCTTCATCCATCCCATGTCTCATTTCTTAATTGCAGTCTCCTTTTTACTTCGATTTATCACTCTCTGTGTGAGCATGGTTTCCTGTTCATATTTTATGGGAAAATTTAACCTCAAACCCTTGCACCACCACGGCACACAAGTGCCAGGCAATCACCCGTAGCACTTGCTGCCGATTCGGTGGTGGCACATCCAGGCTGACAGGGAAACTGTTGCATTAACCCAAGCGCCTGATAGTGCAGAGAGCACTGAGGCTCACTCCAGAGAATGTGCAAGCCTCTCCTCCCCTTGTGCTCCACCTCTCCCTTGCCCCTGAGCAATGCAGTAAGGTACAGCAAGGTTCCTATCACAGGCTTCTGGAGATGCTTTCTACCTTCCTGGTGTCTCAGTTCACAGACCTAATTGGAGAAAAGGAAGGAGAAGAAAAATTATTTTGAAATTAAAATAGCAGATAAGGATGGATGGCTTCTTCCCAAACCAAAGGCTAAGATCAGCCTTCCAGGATTAACAAAAGGCTCCTCCTAAATTTCTTTACTGGCAATGCAGGGCAGGCAGAGCAAACATGTTCGGAAACAGACAGCTTTGGCTGCCCTTCGGTGACTTAGTGGACAATTCATGGGTCTGACTTTTCCTAAGACATTATAAGAGCTTGATTTAGAGGTAGAGCCAAGTCCCAGAGTTGGGATATGGATCCAAGTTCCCCTCAAGTTGGGGGATGTTTGGACTTGGGCCCAGCTCCACTTTGATCCAGCAATTTTATAGCTTGGCATAGAGAGAAGGCTGAATATACCGACAAAGAATGCTGCAGAGCTGATTTACTATGTTTCCATAAACCCACGCCTGGTCTGGGCAGCAACCGGCTTTGCGCTGATATTTTTATCAGAGCAAATGTCTCACTGTAACTGTTCTGAAGCAGAGAGAGGACACTTTGCTTTCTGTCATTCAGCACCCCCTGGTTGTTTAAGGAGTTACACAGACAGGTGGTGAAGGGCATTTGTCCAGAGTAAACACTTTAAAATCGGAAAAAACTAGGGTCTATTCAGGGCTGGAACAACTCATGAATATGAAATATTTGGGTTTAATGCCTGAAAATTTTTGACACAGTGTGAAGTTTCTGTTTGTTTATATGACTTTGATTGCTGACAGCAGCTCTTCTCCCAAGGCCAGTCCTTCAGAGAAACTGGAGGGAGGGAACCTACGTACTACCTATAATAAGAAGAGTTTGAAAGGACTATGCTACAACTATCCCCGTGCCTTACTCCAAGTGCTTCCTCTTTACAGAACTCCCTGTTATTGACTTGCATGCTGTGTCCTAGTAGTACAAGTACTTGACAGGCTGAACAGGACCTGTTCACATCTTTAAATGCAGCTTTTTATTTCTCAAATAAAGTCTAATGAAGGCATCGTGCAGGTATTTGTACCTAAAATTTGCATTTGACAATCACCGGGAAAAAAGTAGCTTGCAGGTCTTTTTGCAGAACATTTTACAGAACTTCCTTTGCCTTGCTATGTATTGCAGAGGAGCAGGAATTACTAATTTTAGATCACTCCCTCATTTTCTTGCTAATGCAAAATTATTATCCTCTAGTCTTAAGTTCAGTCATCTTTTAAACATCTCAGATACTAAGCCTTCCTGTCACTTCTCCTGGAAAATTATTTCACACCCCAGTAGTTCTCAATATCCAGAAGGTACCTGATAGCCTTTCAAAAAGTCGATAAAAAGAACATAGAAAATCTATCTGTAACAGCCACCCAAAAACTTCCAGTATCAGAAAATACCCAGAAGACCTTAAGAGAACCAACTGCAAGGCCAATTAATTCTGTTTAGCACAACTTCTGAAACTAATGAATTGGCTGCAAAACCTCCCATCACTCTACCAGGTCAAAGCGATGCTCTGTAGCTGCTGTGGAAAGCTGAGCAGGAGAGAAGTGGCTGAAAGCTGGAGTGAGCAGCAGTCCCCGTGCAGGGGCTTGTTGGCAAAGCATCCATGGCAAACCCATGCTGCCAGCCAATGCCAAATCTGCTGATCTGGAAATGGCGGCACCACTACATGCGATGGGCAGCCCAGTAGGGCCTCATGTGCTTATATCCCCTCCTAGTACCAGTGTGAACAGCTCTTTCCAACTCCAGAAACGCAGTCCCTGGCAGCCGCCCAGCTCTTCTAATCTCACACCCTCAGAGGTTAAAAAATGTAGAGGAAACAAAACCCCAACACCTTTCTGTTGCTTCCTGTGCTTGGAGAGAAGAGAGCCTGCTCAAGGGAGAAATTTGGCAGCGGTGGGGAGGTACTGCCTGGGTTGTTACTTCAGCACAGTCCGGACCAGCACAAAAGAAGGCGAAGAGAATAGGCACGATGGGTAAATATAAGCAAACGGGGAGAAGCCTGGAGAAGTCTATGGCACACTACACCAGGTAATAGCCATCACTGTAGAAAACAGTTTTCTCCCAAGCCTCTCCCATATTTTAAAACTTTTTAGTTTTAGATCAAAGAAAAGAACAATTTCAACATTTTTTCAGGCTCTTCCCTTCTCCCCCAAACTTTTGCTTCGGCTGGAACAAATTGCTGAACTCAACTAAGTGTATAAATAGATTTAACTGCCCACTTTTATTTACTGAAAGACACACATGAAGAAATACACTGCTGACTCAAAAGAAAGATAGTAGGAAAAGCTTGCCTAAATGCAACAGCGACTCTGGGACCACTCTCTGTTGCTTTGAGAAAAATCTAGGTGACAGCAACCATCAGGTTTCCATCCTACATGCTATCCAGTGCTTGTTCCCTTGGCATCCTTACAGCTCCTCTGGTAGAGAACTGACCCCTCAGGGCCCGGCACTGCTTGTGCTTGGCAGAGACAACTGCAAGCCGAGGCTGTCCTAGGACACTTCACCAGTGAGTATCAACAGCAATGTAACATTGTGACCTGGGAAAAGAGCACAATGTTGTGTCTCCACCTGTAGACTCCTTAGCACCAGAAATGTGAGAAATCACTTTGACCCGAGAGCTAGCAGGGGAAGAGTTTTTAGCACTGCTACTGCGACGACAGCAAGGTCCTCGCTGTTCTTTTTCAAACCACTATTTCAAACCAGCAGTTACCATAAGCCTTGGCAAGTTCATTCTAATGTGCAGCAGGATGCAAGAAGGGTCACACAAGCTTAGACCAAAATCCCTTCAGCCTAATAGTCTGTCCTCAACACTAGGTCCCAAGGGAAGAGTAGAAGAACAGGGCAAGCATATGAGGACATTTCTCCTAAATAATCCTCTAGCTTTAGCAATTGGTAGTTCAGAAGCTGCCACACCAGCAGCTTTGTATGTAACAGCCCTCAATGCGGTTTTCTGTATCTTTTTCTTATTTGAAACCCCCAGACATTTTAGCATCCACTGAGTCTTAAAGCAAAGCGATGTACTTTCCTATGAAGTGCAGAAGTGCCTTTTTCTTTGTTGATTTTAGCCCACCTCACCATACTTGCCATGTTAGATCAGACACACATGACAAAGGCAGATTAGTTTCCTCACACTGGCGTTCCTTGAAGCACATCTGTGCTGGTGAGCTGCAGTTCCACTGCCTGTTCTGGTTCTTAGAAACACACCTGGGTCCCTGATAACACTAAAACTATGGAAAAGGCTGGCTGCTTCTTTCAAGCTCATCACTGGGATGTGCCAGCACAGTCATGGATGCAGGCTATGCCTTGGGATACAGGTAGCTGGGGAGTCTTAGTGAAAGCACTGGGAGGAGAACAGGTATTGGAAGGGAGCATGAGAGAATATCAGCTGCAAATGTACCTCTTGAGTGGGTCACACCTAGGAGAGGGCAGGGAGTGGGCAAAGCACGAGGATCTCAGCAATGAGGGTGGAAGAATGGATGCTGCACAGAAATGGAGCTCCGGAGCTCACCTATCACAAGTCAGGGCTAAAGGGTATTTTTAAAATGTCTTCTTTCCTACCTTATACTAATTTTAAAGCCCCGTTATCCCACTTTTTTAATTAAAAAAAAAAAACAGAATCACAATTTCATAGTCTCTAATCGTAAGAGAAATTATGAAAGAGATTATTACAAAGCTACAGCCGTGTATTCTTAGCAAATGCGAGGTTGAGGTTACACCAAAATGCAGTGGGGGAGAGGGAAGTTTAAACTGTTTTGTACTCTCCATATTCTGTGTTGCACACATGGGAGAGGATGTACAGAAACTGGGGATTTTCAGCTGAGTTACAAACTGAGAT